ATTTTCTTCGATTTCTTTATTTTCTTCGATTTCTTTATTTTCTTCGATTTCTTTGACTTCTTCTACTTTATTTTCTTTTCCTTCTTTCTCTTCACTCTCCTCTTTATTCTCCATTCTCTCCTTATTTTCCCTGTCCTTATTTTCTTTTTCCTCTTTATCAATATTTGGAACGGAGAAGAGAAAAAGTTTTGGTGGTATATTAGACAAATCAAGAGTTTTAGTATTAAATCCGATAAAAGGTTTATTCGATGTTAAGTTTGAGCTTTGAGTTTTGCTTCCAGATCCAAAAATAGACTTGGGCGTCGTTGTATCAGGAAGTAAATCTGAAGGTCCCTGTATTTTATTGGTAGTCATGATTTTACTTTCAGATCCAAAAGGTTTTGTCGTCGGTGTATTAAAAACTGTGTCATAGGGTCTTTTATTGACAGGAGTACTAATTGATGGTGTATCTTTAGAAATGAACGGTGTAGAAGTAGTACTAATTGATGAAGTATCTTTTGAAATGAACGGTGTAGAAGTAGTACTAATTGATGGAGTATCTTTTGAAATGAACGGTGTAGAAGTAGTACTAATTGATGGAATATCTTTTGAAATGAATGGTGTAGAAGTTGTACTAACGGAACCATTTAAAGAAGAGAAATCGATCATTTTCTTTGTTTCACTATAATATTGATCATTTTTAGCTGAATGATCGACAATTTTAATGAATTTTGGCTGTGTCAAAGGGGTAGTACTAAGCTCCTCAACATTATTACTTAAGTATGGTTCAGAATCACTTGGCTTAGAAACAGGGATCAAAGAGCTAATGGCAGGAACTTTCGATAAGTTGTCACTAGCAGGCATATTTTGATTTTTCAAAATTGAACTTGAAGGAACGGACGCCGACTTTTCTTCCTTTTTTTCTGTAGGATGGTAATTGAACCAATTTATGTCCGGGACAAGATCTGATTTGAATTTTTTAAGAGGAGGCCCTTGAGATAAAGATTTTTTACTTGTGTCTGGCTCTTGTGAAGGCGTTGATGCTCCCGATGATGATGTTGAAAATGAGTCATTAACGGCTAAATTTTTGAAAGGCTTATACCAATCCACTGGTATTTCTGGGCATTGTTCTTTATCTGATAATGGTTCATTTATCTCATCCGGATAAAGTAGATCCTCTTCTCGTGCCGAAACATGATTAAACCTCTTTCTAGGAATGGTTCCTCGCCTATGCAGAGGGTTTGAATACATTCTACGACCAAACCTTGCGGCAATTCTTGAACTTGATCTGTTAAATTTGCTTTTTAAATTCATTTTTGTTATTGTATCCAATTGTGATAGTTGGGGTTGTTCTTCACGCTTCATTGCACCGTTTAGTTCCTCTATAGAACTTTGAACAATATTCTCTGTTTCAGTTTCGGTTGAAGCTATTTCCATAGCTGTAGCCTCAGTGGTGGGTATAGCTGTTGGCCATATAAATGTTCTCAACCACTGTGGGATATATTTTTTAATAACACCCAACAGCCAAGAAGTTTCTTGAGGATTCGGATTAGGTGAACTGGCAACCCGCGTATATGGCGTATTTGTATGATTACGTTTTTTGCGGTGCCTAATCGGACCTCCTGCAAAAGATGCTTGCTCCGAACTTTCCTCAAAAGTATTTATATTAGGAGTCGGAAGCTGGAAACCGTACGGTTCATCTCTTCTGAAAGTATTTGCATTTCCAGGATCGGCCATGGTTTTATAATTATTGTTATAAAGTTAAAAATTACGATGAAGAAAACATTTATAAAAAAAAAAAAAAAATGCAGATCGTCACTGTTTTCGTACACCCCTGCATACCGGTATCAATTAACATAATTGTCACGTACTGTTAGTCGTACGATGGTGCTTTGATAGATAAAAAACTTGAGCAATAACTAAATATAGCGTAATTGGCGAAAATAAAATTTAACAGGCATGAGACATATCACCTTACAGGCAGTGTTGTATAGAGATGTTAAAGTGTCAGTTCTAGAACCTAAAGAGATAGTTCTAGACTTCATAGAAATACATTCGTCTGATTAGGCAATTTTTAGAGATCTACCCGTGATTATCCGTGATAATCGACCAATAAAATTGCATAGAAAAATTAATTAACAAATATACTAATACGAGTTTTTTTTTTTTTTTATTAAAGCTGTTTCTTTAGTTAATTGAATTTTATTAATTTTCTATTACAGAGTTACACATATAGTAATCTTTTAAGATTTGTAATTATATGATAAGTGTATGTATAACGAGCTATATATACAACTTTAGTTATTTTTAAGTAGTTTGTTATACAAATATTAAACTATCTGTTTGGTTTTACATTATGCTATTATATCTATAACCTATTTGTAAGTTATTTATTTAAATACTCTGATTATTAACTCATCTTTCATATTAATTTATTTTATTATTATATTTAATTGCTTAAACTAGTTGATTTGTTTGTAAATCTTTTTTCAATATGATTTAGATCCTTTTAGGATATATATTATTTAATATATTATGAGTATATAGAATTCTAGTTAACTTTAGAAATAATTTTAACTAAAGTGATCTTATACCTATTTTACAGATTTATTTAACTTAAACTTTTGTAATATTTGTATAACTTCAAGTTTTATTATAGTTTTCATTAGTTAGTTAATCTAATTTTTTTTTTTAAAATTCATTAGTTATATTGTAACTTTATTTGAATTTGTTTTATAAAAAAAACAATATTATATAGTTGAACCTTCTAATATCTAATTTTTTAAGTTCTAACTCATCTAATTATCCTAATAATACTATTATAGAATAGATTTTTAGTTATTTTATTATTATATATATTTAGTTATATTTATTAGTATTTAGTTATTTCTTATATTGTATTATTTTAATATAGATATTTTAGAATAGAAAAAATTATTGTAAATATTTATCTTTAAATGAAGTCTCTCAAAAAATATTTATAGTAAAAAATACCTTTAAATAACTTTGTAGTCAAAAATATTAGCTATAATAATATAAGTTTTATCTGAGTTATTATATACAATATAAAGAAAACTCAAATAACAGCTAATATAATATAATAATTACTATATTAAATACTATACTACTTACTGTACTAATCTATTTATAGTATTACTTATATAATGCTTAAATAATACTTATACAAATGCTTAAATGATATCTAGATAAACTTTTAATAATCCTTAGGTGATCTTTTTATAAGGCTTTACTAAAAAATATAAATACAAGTAGTTTTCTTTATAAGTTTAATAATCAATTAGTTAACTAGTTTAGATTCTTTCAAAATCTTCTTTTCTAATAATAGATAAAGCCCAAATCTCTTTTTCTATAGTTATAGAGTATAACTACTCATATATCTTCTTCTAAATATATCTATCTTTAATAAAATATATTGTTAATAATAATTATAAATAAATTGCTATTCTTTAAGGGTAGAGGATACGTAGATCATTTTTATATAGTAATATATGGTATTTTGAAATTTTCATATAAAATTAAAATATATTACTTATAAAACTTTTTTAAATTACAACTAATTTTTATTAAAATTTTACAAAATATAAATAAAATAATT